TAAAAATTAAGAAACATGCGGCGCCTGGGTGGCTCAGTCGATTAAATGTCCAACTCTTTTTTTTTTTAAATTTAAGATGTATTTAGTTATTTTAGACAGACAGAGAATGGCAGAGAGCAGGGGGAGGGGCAGAGGAAGAGGGGTTGAATTTTCAGCCGCTTAGCATGGAGGCAGACTCGAGGCTTGACCTCATGGCCATGAGATCATGACCTGAGCTGAAGGCAGATGCTTAACCTACTGAGCCACCCAGGTGCCCCAAGTGTCCAACTCTTGATCTCAGCTCACGTCTTGATCTCAGGGTTGTGAGTTCAAGACCTGTGTTGGCCTGTACACTGGGCGTGGAGCCTACTTAAAAATAGATAAATAAGAAAGAAGAAAGAAGGGAGAAAATGACTAGAAAATAAAAAATTAAAGCCAGTAAGATATATCCCACAACAGACATGCAATTAATTCAAATACTTATTGAACACCTCCTATATGCCAGGTACAGTTTTAGGTGCTAGGACATTACATTGAACTAAACTGACAAAAATCCATTTCCTGGGGGCACTTTACATCCCAATGGAAAGACATCCATAATAAATACATTGTACACCAGATGGTGAGAAGAGCCATGGAGGAAAATAAAACAGGACAGAGTGTTAGAAGAAGATGGTGAGATAATGTTTTTCAGTTTTGTAAAGGATTGTCAGATTGCCTGTTCTATAAGGTTACATTTAGGCAAAGGTGAAGGACATGAAAGAGCAAATCGTGCAGTTATCTGGGGAAGGAGTCTTCTAGTCAGGCAGAATAATAATTGCAAAGGCCCTGTGGTAGGAGTATTTTACTTTGGGAAACAGAAGGAGGAGACCTCTGCCCCCCCCCCCTTTTTGGAACTAAGTGGGGAGTTTGGTAAGAGGTGGAAGAGAGGTAGAGTGGATTGTACAGCAGAGTAAATAGGGCCTTTAGACCATTGTAAGGACTTTGACTTCCATTTTGAGTGAGATGGGGAGTCACTGAAAGGGTGTTGAGCCCAGGAATGACATGATCTGACACAAGCTTTTAAAGGATCACCTGGCTGCTGAGTTGAGAAGACTAAAGAGATACAAAGGGCTGAAGCAAGGAGCGAGGCACTGAAGAGACTTTTGCAGTAGTCCAGGTGAGATATTATCACTCGGATCTGAGTGGTAGCTGTCAAATTAGCAAGAAATAGTGCATATATTTCGAAGGTAAAGAAGACTGCTGACTAAATGAACATATGAGGCATGAGGAAGAGAAAGGAGTTAAGGGTAATTAGGAATTTTTAGCCTAAATATTTCTAGCTGGAGTTGCATTTATTTATGGAGATGAGGAAGCCTGTGGGAAGAACATTTGGGGGGGGGTTGAGGCAGAAGATGAACTGATTTTAAGCAGGCTAAACTTGCGGTGTCTGTCTAGTAGACATCTAGGCAGTGTGTCAGGTAGGCATTTAGATATAGGATTCTGGAGTTCGAGGAAGAGGTCCCGACACCTGGCCTCTATCTAGTGATAGAAATTTGTGAATCAACAATGTTAGATGGAATTTGAGGCCGAAAGTTTGGATTTGGTCATTGAGCGAGTAAGTGTAGATAGGGAAGGGAAGAGCATGCCCTGGGGTGCGCCAGTGTTTAATGTTCAGGGAGAAAAGGAAAAACTGGTAAAGGAGACTGAGGTTGACTAGCCAGTAAGGCAGAAGAATCCAGAGAGGGTTCCTGGAAGTCAGTGCAGAGATAATGGGCTGTTCCGCTGTGTCACATTCTGTGGCTAGGTCAAGTAGAGGACTAAGAGCTGACCGGTGTACTTAGTAGCATGGAGTACGTTAGTGACCTTGACTAGCAGTTTATTTGGAGAGGTGGTGGTGAAGTGTGATTGGTGCATTCCAGAGAAAAAAGGTGAGGATTTAGAGATGGCAAGAATGGACTGCCCTTTGAAGAAGTTTGGTTATAAGAGGGGGACAGAGAAATGGGAAGCTGGTAGAAGATGTGGGTCAAGAGGAGTTTTCTTAGATGAGAAATATTGTAGTATGTTTTCATGCTGACTCGTATCATCCAGAGGAAAAATGAGAAATGGATGATGCAAGGGAGAAAGGATAGTTGCCCTAATAAAGCTCTTGAGAAGGCAAGGAGAGGGTAGGTTTTAGTGCTCAAGCGGAGGGGTTGGAAATCTATGTATTTTTTAATTATTATTATATTTTTAAGCAGGCTCCACACCCAGCGTAGAGCCCAGCATGGGGCCTGGACTCACAACCCTGAGATCAAAACCTGAGCTGAGACCAAGAGTCAGATGCTTAATCGACTGAGCCACCCAGGTGCCCCACTATATTATGATAGTAGGGAAGGCAGAATCTATAGGAACAGACACACAGGAGGTGGGTCAGTATGCAGTATAGTGGGAGCTTGTGGCAGTTTTCTTCTGATTGTTTCTACTGTCATCATCAGATTGGAAGCAAAATCAGTGAGGGTGGAGATGACTTCCAAGTAGTTGTGTGGGAGAGTGGCGGATTAGGGAAACAGGTTTCATCACTAAGGGTCCAGTTGAGGTTAGCGTTCAGGAATGTAAAGTGAGATCAGTGAACGTGATTGTTTTTCTTAGACCAGCTTTGATGGTACAGAGACAGAAGGAGGTATAAGATATAATTTTGAAGCTGTTACTAGTGTAATTAAGATATTGTAGTAAGTTTATAGAAAACTACCTCTATGAAATACATATACTAAACAAATAAGATAAAACTTGTATGTAGGACTCTTATTATAACACAAGGTGAAGTCATGTAAGAAAGGAAAGGAGAAACATTTTCTAAATGCCAGATGTTATGTTAGAAGCTATAGGGGCCTTAAAATTCATTCGGCTATTTATTGGATACTAATATATGTGCTGTTCCTCGTTCTGGGTGCTGGAGAAATAGTCGTGAACAAGCCAGAAGAGGTCCCTACCCTCATGAAGCTTAACACTGTAATTATTTGGGGATGTAGTTGACAAATGTGGAAGAAGGGGGAAAAAAGCTGATTACTCAAATTGTGATCCTAGATGGATAATAGGTATTCAGGGAAGGATCAGGTCAATGCAAGCTTAAATGTAAGTGTTAAAACGTAAGTGCACAAAGTATCATCCAAAAATCTGTTTCTTCCTTTAAGAAAGATAATGTGGATTGGGTTACTTCCACAGTGGTGTTTAGAGTAGCACTCCTTCATCAAGCACAGTAATACTTTTGCATTGAAATGTATGGCTATTCACAAAAATTGTGGTGATTAAGACCAAAATGGATCCAAATCAGGTCTGGTCAGGTTTTGTCCCTAGTGAGTTATGAAAAAGCTTCTGGTTCTCAGAGTTTTAAATTTCAGGATTATGAACCCATCTCGGACAAGATAGGACTTTGTACTTTTTTATTTTTTCAATTAATTTGCTTGAGAGAGAGAGAAAGCGACCATGGGGGGGCAGAGGGAGAGGGAAAAGCAGACTCCCCACTGAGCAGGGAGCCTGACGCAGGGCTTGATCCCAAGACACCGAGATCATGACCTGAGTCAAAGGCAGCCACTTAACCGACTGATCCACCCAGGAGCCCCAGGACTTTGTACTTTTAGAGGGAAAGAAAGCACATGGCACAGAAGCAGAAATGAACATGATTTGTTAGGGACAGTAAAGGAAACTGAATTGACGACGTCATAGGGGATGTGTGTTGGGAAGTAAGGACAAGCAAGTTTGAATACTTACGAGCTAGATTATGAACAGCCTTGAAAACTATTGTGAAGCATTAATCTGTGAAGCGTTAGACAGCAAGAATTGTGAGAGTGAGCTGATTGGAAGATTACAGAATGAATCCTTGTGGCTGTTTTTGTGAATGAATAGAGTGGGAACAAACTGAAGAGTTTAGTCAATTGGCCAATATTTACTGAATACCTAATATGCTGCTACTACTATTAGTAATAATAATTATTGGTACCTTCTCTTGAACCCTTTGCTGTGTTGCCAGGCATTGGGCTATGCATTTTACTTACATTCCTTGTAGAAGTTGTGAAATAGTTGTATGATCTTTGTTCTTGAGAATCTTACAATCTTGTTGGAAAGAAAAGTCTTAAGGCATGTAGTTTAAACTATGAAATATTCTACTTCGTAAATGGAATGTTCTAAGGAATAGGCTGTTCTTCTTTTTTCAGATACTTGTCCTGGATCTTGACTGGATATATGCTTAGAATAAAAACTAGTCTGTCAATCTTCAAGAATAGTGAATTGTTTTGGTTTTATATTTGCTAGTCAGCCTTCTGATTATATGGTAATCTGGTTTCCTGAAGATCTTTATTTATGAGAAGGAGGTTGCCCTGTGTAGATTATTCAGATTCACAGGTAAGGTGTACATCTGTTATAAAATAATAATTTGCTCATTTAAAAATACTTTATGGATTTGGGGAATTAAAGCATGCCAACTGACTATTCACTATTAGGAAAACTTGTAAAATTAAATTTCTGGTTTTCAAAGTTTTTATAACAATTATAAATCATTTATATAACAATTTTTTAATGTTTGTCTTTCTCACTAGAGTATAAGTCTTATAAATTTAGGAACTGGGTCTGTTTTGTTGAGTACTGTGTTTCCAGGTTTTTGCACAATGCCTGGCACATGATAGGAGCTCAGAAATATTTTTGAGTGAATGAATGAGTGAATGAATTCAGAGTTTAATTGTACACCAGCAGCAGAGGTAATTCCAGCCTAAGAGTCCTAACCGAAAAGCCCGAAACCTCTTAAAAAAGTTGGAGTACTAAAAACAGTCCATAACATGTATTACTACAGCTTGTTTATGATATCTGTAGAATAATAAGCTTATTCTAAAATTTTAAATTTATTTATAACTAAATTAATTTAAATTCATTTTGTACTGTGTTTTGGTTATAACTGTGATTTGGGATTCTTCCTGACCTCATTGCCCCTCTCCCCTTATACCCATTTTTCACATTAAGCAATAGTTGCTTTCTTTTCTCATGAACTTTTGTTATGGTTTATCCTGCAGAGAAAGAGATGCTGGATGCAAGTTTTGGAGATCCCTGTTTTTTATGGAACACAGTTCTGTAAAATTTTCCTAAGCTTCCTTGGCAATAACAGACACTTGTGATGGACCCTAGAAATACTGCTATGTTAGGATTGGGTTCTGACTCTGAAGGATTTTCAAGGAAGAGTCCCTCTGCCATCGGTCCTGGCACAGTGGTCAGCAAGAGAGAAGGAGAGCTAGAGAACAACACAAAAGAGGAAGAGGACCTTCGCAAGTGGAATCGGGAAAGAAACAGTGAAGCAGGGAAGGAGGATGGTTTGACTGATGCACAGCAACAGTTTTCAGTGAAAGAAACAAACTTTTCAGAGGGAAACTTAAAATTGAAAATTGGCCTTCAGGCTAAGAGAACTAAAAAACCTCCAAAGAACTTGGAGAACTATGTATGTCGACCTGCCATAAAAACAACTATCAAGCACCCAAGGAAAGCACTTAAAAGTGGGAAGATGACAGATGAGAAGAATGAGCACTGTCCTTCAAAACGGGTGAGTAGAATTGTTGACATTACTTGGATTTCTTTACTAATTTTTTTATCCAACTTCATACTTATTACGGGAAGTTTGATTTTAATCTCTTTTATTTCCAAGTAGTCTGTTCTGTGAGACTACAAGAGGCTCTGAGGCTTGTCAGGGACGGGCATGACAGCATGACCGTGAATGCATTTGTATTTGTATGGCAGACATTTGAAATCGGACATAACCTATGTTGTTACTCCTACATGTGGTAGTGGAAAGAATGCTGGCTTTGGAGTTAGCAATTTCCTACATTTGACTCTCACCTTCCTATTTATTAGCATTGTTATAGACAGATTAACAGGGAAGAAATTGAGGCTCAAAGATGTCAAATGATTATAATATATCACTTACCTTTTAAAGGTGGTTGTGAGGATCCAGTTAACTACCATATGTTGAAAGCTTTTGTGGGTTTTTGTGTTTGGTTTGGTTTGGTTTTTAATCCTTTTTTTTTTTTTTTTTTAAGAGAAGGAGAGAGTATGAGGGGGAGGGGAGGGGCAGAAGCAGAGGGAGAGGGAAAGAGAATCTTAAGCAGGGCTTGATCTTAACAACCCTGAGATCATGACCTTAGCTGAAATCAAGAGTCAGAAGCTTAACTAAGTCACCTATGCACCCCATACGTTGAAAGCTTTTGTAAAATGAATTGTTTAATACAAGGATTAATTCCTGTCACTCTTCATAAAGCAAGTTGATACATTAAAAATTGTCCCCTCTTTCTCGTAGGCTCTCCAAAGTAGTAACTAATTTTTCAGGGCGCCTGGGTGGCTCAGTCAGTTAAGCTGACTGCCTTTGGCTCAGGTCATGATCCCAGCGTCCTGGGATTGAGTCCCACGTCGGGCTGCCTGCTCAGCGGGAAACCTGCTTCTCCCTCTCCCTCTGCTGCCTTCCCTGTTTGTGCTCCCGCTCTCTCTCTCTCAGATAAATAAATAAAATCTTTTTAAAAAATAACTAATTTTTCTTAACCTTATTTATTCTGTGCAGTAAAGATACTAAATTTGTGGGGCACCTAGATGGCTCAGTCAGTTAAGCTTCTGCTTTCGGCGCAGGTCATGATCCCAGAGTCCTGGGATCGAGATCCACATCAGGCTCCCTGCTTAGCGGGGAGCCTGCTTCTCCCTCTCCCTCTGCCTGCCTCTCTGCCTACTTGTTTTCTCTCTCTATCTCTCTGTCAAATAAGTAAATAAAATCTTAGAAAAGGACATTAAATTTGTTTTAGGTCATGTGTTGACCACAAGTTTTAGCCATTTCTCTTTTTTTCTTTTTCTTTTTTTTTTTTTTTTAGATTTTATTTATTTATTAGAGCAAGAGAAAGCACAAGTGGAGGTGGGGTGGGGAGGAAAGGGAGAAGCAGGCTCCTTGCTGAGTAGGGAGCCTGACGTGGGGCTCGATCCCATGACCCTGGGATCATGACCTGAGCCGAAGGCAGCTAGATACTTAACCGACTGAGCCACCCAGGTACCCCTCGCCATTTCATACAATATCTAATTTCAGGCGATGGGCACCATACGGGCCCACGTGCATATTTAAATTATTTGTATATGTAAGTAAAACAGTGGATCTAGCTAGAAAGAATTGGCTTAATATTTTGGCTAAAATTTTGAAATATTCCTGACTGTGTGAAATAACTTAATTTTTACTGTTAATTACTTAACATCAAATTCATGTGCTTTCTGCATGTTACCAGAAACCATAATGATGCAGGCTCTTTGTTCTTCAAATTGCTGTGGCATCCAGAAATTTTTAATAGTTGCTATTCTTCAAAGATTATGGACATGTAAAGTAGTTTGGGATGTTTTATTGATAAAATGAACTGTGAATGAGTTAGATTAGAAGCCAGGAAAAAAAACGGTTATTGTACCAATTCTTGAAAAAATGAACTGGGTGAATCTTCGCTAAGTTGAGTAACCTCCCCTGAGCCTTATTTTCCTCATGAGGATATCAGTTCCTGCTGAACTCAAGGATTTTCATAAGATTGATTGAAAAAGATTTTTTTTAAAGGATTTTATTTATTCATTTGAGACACAGAGATAGAGAGAGAGAGAAGAGAAAGCATGAGCAGGGAGAGAGGCAGAGGGAGAGGGAGAAGCAGGCTCCTTGCCGAGCCAGGAGCTCGATGCGGGGCTCGATCCCAGGACCCCTGGGATCATGACCTGAGCCGAAGGCAGACGCTTAACCATCTGAGCCACCCAGGCGCCCCTGAAAAAGATTTTTATGTAGACCTTTTTCCTTGAAACAATGTTAGAGTTTGTAAAGTCTCCTTCCGTGTAAAAGTCTCCAGTTTTCTCATTTATAGTGGGACTATGAATGCCTATCTTCAATGGATGTATATAAAATTAAATTTATATAAAGCATCTGGCATGTGACAGGTTCCTGTGAATGTTTTCTTTTCCTTGTTACAGACTGATGTAAGGCTTCACAACCTGCAGTCCCTGGGAGGATGCTGGTGTGTGGGGTTGTCCTCACAATGTGACAATCAGTATAGAGTTTTGTGTTTTTACATAGCTATCACCAGCTTCTTAAAGGAGGTCATGACTCTAAAAAGATTAAGCATCCTTGGCCAAGGAAGGAAAGAGGGACTATTACGAGTCAATGTTGGTAGTTTTAAGAAAGTGTGGGCACTTTGTTTTATTTATTTTAAAACAAGGCTTTACTAAATGCAACTGCAACATTTACCCCCAGTTCTTCAAAAGTAGTTGGATTTTCAGTGTTGCTTTTAAAGCAAATATTACAGGGCACCTGTGTGGCTCAGTCAGTTAAGTGTCCGACTCTTGATTTCAGCTCAGAGATCGAGCCCCGTGTAGGGCTCTGTGCTGGGCGTGGAGCCTGCCTAAGATTCTCTCTCTCCCTCTCTCCCTCCCTAAAAAAATAAAATAAAAGATAAATCAAATATTAGGCCTTATATTCCTAATAAAAACAAATATGGATCATATATTTTATCTCTACATAGAATTTTTCTTTCGGCAGTATTCAGAGAGCAAAAACAAGATCCTCTGAAAAAATAAGTTATTTGCTGTTATGATTAGTGCTGAATGATTGTTAACTGTTTAATTTTTTAAACTGCTTATGTAATTTTTATTTATTTATTTATTTATTTTTTAAAGATTTTATTTATTTATTTGACAGAGAGAGACGCAGCGAGAGAGGGAATAGAAGCAGGGGGAATGGGAAAGGGAGCAGCAGGCTTCCCGCGGAGCAGGGAGCTCGATGTGGGGCTCGATCCCAGAACCCTGGGATCATGACCTGAGCCGAAGGCAGACGCTTAACGACTGAGCCACCTAGGCGCCCCCGTTTATGTAATTTTTAAAAGCAAAACCCACGTTCAGTTCCATGAATGAAATTTTCCCTTTTCTTGAATTATGTGACATACTGTTAAATTTATAGTAGTTTACTCATGAACTCTTTATTTAGAGGGTTTCAAATATGTCACTAATTTATGAAAAATTTCAGTTCATTGTTTAGGAACTAGGACATTAATAACTGGAGTGTGAAGTTTAGTTCATTCTTTTGAGAAAATATTGGAGGATGATACTCTTAATGTCTTCTATTTAAAGTTATATTAAAGATTTTAAGGGTCCTAATTCTGTTTTTATTTAATGTATTTGTAATGTATTTTTTAATACGTTTTTAGATTTAATATGTTTTTTAAAGATACTGAGTTACAGTGCTGTGTACTTGGTGTGAAGGTGTACTTGGTTTATGTTTCAGTAATTTTGAGACCTTTCTATATTACATTTTGGCAAAACTGAAAAATTTCATATTAATGATAATAATAATAATTGAGTGTTGGCAGGAATCTAGGGAAACAAGCTCTCTCATCCACTGCTGGTGTTGAGTAAATTGGTATGGCACTTTTTGAATTGTGCTGTTTTTTTATTGGTGAGTTTTCAGGGTTCTTTATACATTTGGCATATAAGACTAGCTAATAGTAACTCCCCCTGTGTGGGTTGTCTTCTCACTCTCTTGACAGTGTCCTCAGATGCACAAGGGTTTTCAGCTTTGATGAACTCGTTTATTTATTTTTTCTTCTATTGCCTGTGCTTCTGGTGTCCTATCCAAGAAATCACTGTCAAATCCAGTTTATGGAAGATTTTCCTCTATGGTTTTTTTCAGGGTTTTATCATTCTTGCTCTCTGAATTCAGAAACTAATTCAGACAGCAAGAGATACTTTGGACATGGGAAGCTGTTATAAAAAATGTCATGTGTAGAGGCACCTGAGTGACTCAGTGAATTAAACTTTGGACTCTTGATTTTAGCTCAGGTCATGATCTCTGGTGGAGAGATTGAGGGGCCCCCGCCCCGGGGGGGTGGGGGGGGTGGGCTTCGTGCTGTGTGTGGAGCCAGCTTAAGATTCTCTGTCTTCTTTTCCCTCTGCCCCTTCCCCACTAAAAATACATAAAATAAAATGTGTGAGAGTATGGATATTGGACCAGAAAATATTATTTGATTAGGTAATAAACTCCTATGATTCAGAGTTTAAGAGATAAAAAAGGAAACAATGAAATATTGTTTCTAAATAAATAGTAAATCTATTTTGGAATCCCCTTTTAGATAATCTCGTGATAACCCCTTACCAACTGTGATAACGATTAAGCAGAACAACCATTTCTCAATCAAAATGAAGAAAACTGATATGTATATTGAATACATTTTCAGGTTTACATTTACACTTGGAAAATAATACCTCATTAAGAACTAATTGTTTTTATTTTTTATTTTTACTTATTTTTTAAAGATTTTATTTATTTATTCAACAGAGAGAGAGAGAGCGAGAAAGGGAACACAAGCAGGGGTCGTGGCAGGCAGAGGGAGAAGCAGGCTTCTCGCCAAGCAGGGAGCCCAGTGTGGGCCTTGATCCCAGGACCCCAGAATCATGACCCGAGCCGAAGGCAGACGCCCAGTGACTGAGCCACCCAGGCGCCCCTTTTTGTTTGTTTTTAAAGATTTTATTTATTTATTTGACAGAGCACAAGCA